ATACAGCGCCAAGTCACAACAGAAGTCGTCTCAGGGCACTGAACAGAAATATTCATATATAAAATAATAATTTAATGTTATTTATCTGAGGAGCAGACTGCTTTGAGTAACTCATCGCAGAACTCTCATTAGCTGGTGGTGGTGGTGGTGGTGGTGGTGGTGGTGGTGGTGGTGGGGACTGAGAAACATCTGAGCTGAGCTGTTTGTACCAACAGATTTCAAACGTGAGAGTAGCTTTTAGCTATCGTGTTTGTATTGTGTGCCGCTAGCTTAGCGCTACGTCATTACCAGGGGGTGGGGACAGTTCGATTTGATAGGCGGGGCGCTCAGTTCTGTTGACAGGGCGGGGCGCCCTGCTTGTATAATGTTAGAGGAAACATTGCCGTGTGAATGGTTGTTTGTCTCTGTGTCTCTGTGATGGACTGGAGACTGGTCCATGGTGTCCCCCGCCTCTCACACAGTGACTGCTGGACATGGGCACCACTGACCCCCACGACTCAAAAAAGGAAGAAGTGGGTAAAAGAATGGCTGGGTGCTCTAACTGCAGTTTTCTAACTTTCCCTTTTCTGTAGATCACTAACAAAATCATTTTAGCACAGTTTTAGTTTTGCAACTATCCAGCTGCATCTGAATGAACCGTGAGACTTACAGAACATTAATCTTTGGACAAATTAGACTAAAACAGCTTTAGCAAAAAAAAATATTAACCCACAGCATTTCAGCCTAAATGCCTCATAAAGCACGGTGGTGGTGGGCTGATGGTTTGGGCTTGTTTTTCAGTTACTCAGCTCCTCTAGATACTAGAGTAAACGCAACACCATCTGTCCAATAGCTGAGACTTGGACCAAACTGGGTCATGATGCAGAATGACTCCAGACACAACTAATCTAGAACAGAACGGCTGAAAGGGAGAAGAATCGAGGTGTTTCAACAGTCCAGTCGAAGTCCAGACCTCAGCTCGTGTGAAATGCAGAGAGCTGTGCGCAAACAAATGTCTTCAAATCTCAGTGAACTAAAGTCACACTGTTTAGAAGAATGAACCAAAATTCCTTCACGACTTTGAGAAAGACTGATAAGGTCCTACAGAAAATCGCTACTGAGTTACTGCTAAAGGTGGTTCTACAAGCTTTTGAAGCGGACGATGTACTAAATTACACAAAGTTTAGAATCTTGGCCTCATTTTATATTTTCTAATTAGTGACACCGTGTAATCTTGTATGCTTAAGGTTAGCTTTAATTAATTTCAAAACCTGGTAAAGACCAGATACATTTTTTTTAACCCTAGATTTGAACTCTTCCCCATGATGTATATAGGTTGCTTCACTGGGTTTATGTTGTAAAAGGACATTTTTGACCTCAGCGCAGGTTTGAATCATTAAAGATGAAGTGTTTGTTAATAGTTACTGTATTTTTTTGTCCATAATTTGCATGCCTCGCGACTTAATAGGCAGGAGCTACGTATTTATGGATTTTTCCCATATTTATAAACCAATTTGTGGCTGAGATATGACCGTTTTCATTCATACTGACTAAAATATTGAACACTACCATTTTCAGCCACTAGATGGCACTCGAGTAGTAAGGCATGCGTTGTATCATGTAATGGGTAAAAGTGGCTATTAACGACATAATCGGCTTGCCTTAGCCTGACACGGTCGTCTGCCTGGATCGACCGAATCAGCTTAATTTTGCTGCGCTGCCAAATGCAGCTGATTTGACCGTCAAAGTGCATTTATTAAGTAAGTTCAACTGAGACACACCTTTGCTATAAAGTCGAGCAAACAAATAATTGTTTTTGGTGTTAATCTTGTTAAATTTCGAAGAAATGGACAGCGAGTCACCCTCTGCGCGTTCATGTTTCCGCGTATCGGCTTTTTGCTGATTTCATTTGCATTTGCATTTATTAAGGAATAGTTAGACAGACACACCTTTACTATAATTTTGAGCAAACAAATAATTGTTTTTAAGTGTTAAACTTGTAAATTTTTAGTTAAAGACCTCCCATGCACGCTCCCGCGGCCGCCATTTGGCAGCCAATTGATTTTTGGCACAACACCGGCCCACATTTCACGTTGTCAGCGTTGACGCGTAACAAACGTGACGCATAATAGATGCGACGTATACTGTGAAGCAACGTATTTATGGATTTTTCCACTTTATTAGACGTATTTGGACTGATGGGTATAGCGGAAAATACGGTGTATATATATATATATATATACATATACATATATATATACATATATACACACACCCACACCATAATTATGTATTATCACTGGGAGATATGTGCAGATCTTGTTGTAGATCAAGAATCAACCACCAGATGGCGTTTTATAGACTATCTTAGTGTTCAACACACACGTACAGAGTGAACACATCTTCATGAGGTCTCCCTCTCTCACTCATGGTTATGGTACTCTACTGAATGGCCTAACACAAACGTAACACATAATGAACACATAAAACTAATGTAACAAGAACAGACTAGCCATTGGCCACCCTCTGGCTCCACCAATGCTCCTGGTCGTGGATATAATTGCTCCCTCCGCTCGCCAGGATCCGTCCCTCTGCGTTTCCTCAGACATGGAAAAAAAACAGACTACCTCTGTTTTTCTACACAGCTCCCAACTCCTACCTATTTGAATATCTTGCACCAAAAACATGAAGGTTCTCTTGCATTTCCTGTTCATTTCCAGTCTAGAAAAACACTCATCAATAACTACAAACATTCACTATACAAATCCATCAGCAGCAGGGGACATGGGCGTACCTCTTGTTCCAGTCATCACTGCATCCTAAGTGTGTCGTCACAAGCCGCAGTTTTCTCTCCGTGTTGGTGTTCAACAGTTGATCAGTGTTTCCTTTAGCTCGTCTTGTCTCTAACCTGCCTCCTGGTGTGTGTGCAGTGATGTGCGTTGGTTTTTTTCACTAACTTTAATTTAGTTTACCCACGTTGTTTCTAGTCCTTGCAGTTTTATGTGCTCTCACTCCTCTTCCTCTCTGCGTCCTATCATTCCACACATTCGTTTATCCCTCCATCCTTGTTAACAAACAGCAAAACAAGCATTCCAGTTGTGCCCCCCTGTCAGAGCGTCTGCATTGTGGTGTGGCGCTCGCTTTGTTGTGTCAGACAAAGCTTTGCTCTCAGTGGAACATGGCAGCTGGACGGCGGCCATCGCTCGGGTCATTCAGGACTTCTGTGCTCTCGGCAGCAGCCGACCTGACGGCCCGAGTTCAGCCTTGATCTCAGTCCAGGAAGCAAACTTTGTCCCTGGTGTTTCTGTCTGCTGGCAGCAAGCGGACTCCAAAGTTCACCACTACGCTCGTTTATTTAACCAAGTCTGGATTTTAGGAGTGGGACTTTTTAGGCGCCTTATGATTTGATTCAGAGGAGCGCTGAGATGTGCTTCTAAAATGTTTTAGCATTTAGTTTAGATTAAATTATCAGACTTGTAATTAAACCTAACGAGGCCAAGAATGCTTATCCAATTAACTGTTAATACAAAATACAAACTTAAAAAATTAAGTGATGGCATATTTCACACAAATAAACATATTCATTATAAATAATGCGTAATAACACGTTAAATACTATTAATCACATACTGCTGACTATTAAAAGATGCTAACATAAGACACCATAGAAAAGCTAACATGCTCATGTTTATCCCCGATAATTTAGACATAAATCAGATGTTTCAGTCAGTACTGAAAACTGGTTTATTTTATAATTTCAACTATTGCAGGTGTATGTTCTTCAGGGTTCAGAAAGGAAAAGATGTGAAAATACGCTGCAGTGCAGGTGCAGCTCAGAAAATTAGAATATTGTGCAAAAGTTACTTTTTTTGGTCCATTTCAGAAAGTGAAACTTGTATATTATTCTTTACACACAGAGAGAATTATTTCAAGCCTTTATTTCTTGTACTTTTTAACACAGGCTCTCAGAGGGGCAGTACAGAATAATAACAAAATCAAATGTCGACATTTTAGCATTGGATTCAGAATTAGCCTCGCTGTTTTGAAAAAACAAAACAAAAATTGAGCAGTACTCCTTTCAGCCACTTGATGGCAGCAGAGTTGGAGTAGCAGTATGGCATGCCGTTTTATCATGTAATAGGAAAACGTGGCTATGACAACTTCAAAAAAGTTCAAGACAAAAACAACTGGACTTTATTATTCTTTCTACTTTATTGTTTTTTTTCTTGAACTTCTTTAAGTTTACCATGTCCTGGATGACTGAGAATCTTCACCAGCTATTAATGACACAATCAGCGTGCCACAGTCCCCCCACCTTCATTCTGCTCGCTGCTTGGACTGACCGTTAAATCAGCTGCACTGCCCCGACGAAATGCAGCTGATTTGACCATTAAAGTGCATTTATTAAGTGAATGTTAGACGGAGACGCACCTTTGCTATAATTTCGAGCAAACAGATAATTGTTTAGGTGCTTTTTTTGTTAAATTTCTCCGAAACGAGCCGCGTTCCTCCTTCCTGATTTCTTCCCTCTGCTAAATGTTTTGTTGGCATGAAGCTTGTTAGCCCGTCGAAAAAAAATAAAAATACATAAATTAGCTGCAGCCTAGTTTAAGCCACGGTATTCAAAGCGTGTGGAACAAAAAGTAGCAGCTTATAGTCCGGAAATTACGGTAAATCTGGTTCTAGTTTTTCCTTTAAAACTTAACATTTCCTTTGAACCCTATTGAATAAATATAATCTTCTGAAAAATAAGATTCAAAGCGATATTAGCTGTCAAAGTACGTCTTTTTTTTTTTTTTAAACGATTTTTGATTAGGTTCTTTTAAATCTGTCATCTATGGAAAAAAAATAATAATAATTTGCATCATTCACTTACTAAGTCTCCCCATATTTTGTAACCAATGAGTGAAATAAGCAGAATAGTGTTTTGTTGCCTACAGACATATTTTAGAATTTTTTATAAACTTGTTATCTGTTAAAAATGACTATTTAAAATCAAACCTTTTCTTTCTGTGTTTCAGATTGAGCGTCAGAGGTCCAGCGTTGCACCTCCTCCTCCTCCTCCTCCTCCTCCTCCTCACTGTCTTCTCGGGGCACTTGACTCTGCCTGTGACTTCTGCCCCGCCCACTGACCTGTGACCTTTAACCTTCAGCCACACTGAGAAGCTGCTCTCCTCTGGTTGCAGATGACAGCGTTACAGAAAACACTTTGTCGTCGTCGTCTTTTTTTTTTTGTTAAATGTTTTTGATGCAAATCTAGTCCTGTTGATCATTTCCCCTCCCTCCATGATGGATGCTGCTCCCCCCTCTTTAGTTGACTACATTCATCCAGCAGTCTGTGAGCTTTGATTGAGGGACGCAAACACAACCTCTGGTAGTTGGTTGTTGTTTTTTTAAGGGGGGGTGTCCCCCTCCTCGCTGTATTAATAAAAGGGAAGCTGGAAATCTAAACAGAGGCATTAAGGTACAGTTTTAGAAGCTGTTTTGTTCAACTCTTTTATCTTTTATTATCAAAATATTCGCCCTCTGCGTCATTCATCATCCACAAGAATTAATTCTGATCCATCGTATGGTCGAAAACTTTTTTCTTTTTAATTAGTAAAACACTTTTTTTTCCTTTTTAAATGGTACAACCGTACAGCTGGGTCCATTCTAGCTTCAGAGTGGCATAGCACAGGTAACATGCTCGTTCTCAAGGTACCGTACGGTAACAACACCAGGGCGGTGACGCCGCTGCCTCAGCAGGCCAGCTTCACGTACGACTCGGCTGCGCCAGCGTTCCTGTATCAACTCAGTCAAACAGAACACACTTCATATTTATTTGATTCGCTGCACGGTATTTATTTGACACTACAGGTACACATGTTCCGGCACATTTCTTCGTTTGCGTTGCTGACTGACGGTACTCAGCAGGGTGGGAAAACAGCGGCAAGACCAAACGACCAGCTGTCAGTTCTCTGAACGCTTTAGTCCGTTTCAGTTTGGAGCTACACTTGTGCTGGAGAGCACTCTGATCTGAACGAAGCCCGGCAGGCAGGCGTCATCAGTTAAACACGTTCTAGTTCCAGTTCCACTGTGTTCTAATGTCCGTTTGAAGAGCCTCGACCTCGAGGGATGTTCAGATGTGTTGAAGGGACTTCTGTGGAGAAGTTATGAACACTTCTCATCTTACCTGTTGCAGACAGCTCTTTGGATGACCTCGGTTTGGTTTAAATCTGACTGGATTGATGAGCTAATGGCTAGTCTGACCAAGGTCCACCTCTGTTTATTAAAACAACTACAATAAAAAAAGCATAATGTGAACGTATAAACCTTTACACTGCCATCAATTCTGCAGATTTTTACATAGAATGTTGTGGTTATTTACAAATACTAATAGCAGCAGCAGCTAACTGTAGCACTTCCTGCACATGCTGTGGCATCATGATGGATATTTCAGCCAGATGTAATGTCAGCACACACCACTGTGAAATTGTAGAAATGAAAATGAATCATTTTTAACTTTTGCACAGAACCCCACTTCAAAATCTCTGAACTACCCCTTTATAACAAAACAACTGACTGAAGAGACGACTCTTCTCTAACATCAAAGTTCATGCTCAACAATCCAGGTACAAATCCAACAATGTTCAGTCAGGTCCTCCGGACAGTTTATTTATTTTTTTTGTTTTGCTGAGACGTATCGTCCTTCATCCAAAGGACTTCTTGAGTTTTCCTGAACTCCTATGGGAGTTGTTGCTTGTGGGACTCCAGTTTCTTTGTGGCCCCTCGGACTGAAGAAGTCCTTTGGATAAAGAACGAAACATTTCAGCCAAATAAATATATAAATAAAACGTCCAGATGACCTGACTGAACATGGTTGTACTCTTCTCTAATACTTTTGTCCCAAGTTTAAATGTCGTTGAAACGTTCACGTTTAGCCCAGATTTATAGCAAATGTCATTTCCAGGGGTTCCCAGCACTGGTCCTTGAGGAACACCATCCTACATGTTTTAGTTGTTTCCTGCTAAAACACCTGATTTTAATAAATGGGTGCTTAAACAGGCTTCTACAGAATGAGAGGAAGTAATTAAATCACTGAATCAGGTGTGTTGGAGCAGGGAAGCATCTAAAACATGCCGGATGGTGTTCCTCAAGGAACAGTGTTGGGAACCACTGGTTTAGACAGCTCATAAAGAATCAAACAAACAAAGCTCTGTTGGAAAGTCATGGAAATTAATTTCTCCAGACTGTTGAGTTGTTTGACTTTATTGTCCCCTGAGAGAAGAGAATAAAAGTATTTTCACCAAAAGCACTTCTGGAACGACGTTTGGCTCCAAGAAAGTAGAAAACTGATCTGAGGTCAGTCTGGATTTCATCAGCAAACTACCAGTACTGAAAGCTAACACCCTGCACCCCCCCACCCCCCCCACCCCCAGTTAAAGTGTAGATTAGAGATACACAATAAATTAAAAAATATATTGATATTGCAATAAATTTAAATATGGCAACATTTGACAATACAAATCTGGCCATCAGGTGGACCCTCTTCTGTTGAAATGCCCCCCCGGCCGGCACACGGAGAGAGATGTGAATATTTTACTGACTGAACAAGAGGTTCATCCAGTGGTGTCCTAAAGCTCCAGACCATGGTTCTGGACATTCGGGGCTTTAACTCGTCCTCACTGCTTCAGAACACTATATTAACCACTTCTTGGACGGTACGGAGTATTTCCTGAAAAATGACTCGTCAGCCCGGACAATACGTGCAGATCAGTTTTGTTGCTCAGATTTAGTGTTCAAAGCGCAGACTGGTCGATGAGTGAAAGTTATTTTCTCACTCTGCTCTCTGGTTGAACTCTGTTTTTTTGCACACACTGTTGAATCGACAAATCAACTTTTTTTTAAAATCATCATTTATACCTCATACGGTCCTTCAAACAGTTCAGGTCGGAGACAGGAAGTCGGCAGCGGCTTGGCGTGACATTAACGTGTTTCCAGTTGTTACCACCTCTCCTTTCTCTCACGCACTTTGATCACGTCCCGTCTCTTCTAACGGAGCTGGTTAAACACAGAAGGTAGCAGCTTCCTGTTCATAACTTTATTATTAATTTGCCGTCATCCTCATGGGGCAGCCTCGCGGCGGGGGGAGTAAAGTCTTGCCTGACGGAGCCGAGCTGCAGACGGCCTCCTCAGATCGGAACCGGTTGTTTCAGACACACGGCCGCACGTTGGCGTTAAAATCCAGAAGGTTTCTGCGTCAAATGTTAACACTGAAGACAGTTTTACTAAAAGTCCAGCTGAAGTGATGATCCTGACACTGAAACTTTAATTTTGTCTTGTTAAACACAAAATCTGTTTACATCCAGACTGAACGGTTAGTTTGGAAAATCATAAAAAAATAACCGAAGTATAGCTGTCCTATCATTACAATAGTCTGGTACGGTGCTATTAAAACAATTAGCTGCTCTGATAAACATCCAACTGCCTTTTGTAATTTAATTTTTAATTTTATTCCAGGTTTGATCAAATGATTTAAGTATTACGAGGAGACAGTATTTGATTTTCTTCATGTGACGAGGTACACGAAAGTAAACCTCTTGTTTTTTTTACTGTTCGAGCTGTAAATGGTCTAAATTATCAACAAATCTGCAGAACGCTGTTTTGATTCTGTGACGTGTCTTACATGTACATTATGAACAATTAGAGGTATTTTTTTCTGCCCGTTCGCCCCTTTTCCCTCTTTTTGAGCGAACAAAGATTTATTACGAAGAGTTTATGGGCCTCAGTGGCCGGACAAATTTGATTTTATTTTTGTTTTTTTTATGTTTGCAAAATTTCTGTGTACTTATGTTACGGCAACGTGTTGCGTTTGGATTTTTAATGCAATTGTTTAGAAGGAAAAAAAAAAGTAGTGCTAGATTTTAGGGAGATTTTTACTTTTTTTTTTTTTTAAATCCTACATTTACTTTAAGGGTTACTCATAAAAATGTCCTCATATGACCTTTATGTTGAACTTTACTTCTCCCTGATACAAAATGTGTCGCAGCTGAATGAATTCTTACAAAGTTTATTTTGGCAACAATGCAACCTCAGATGTTATTTTTCTTTAACGAGTGTATAGACTGCGTTATTATGCAAACTTTAGTTTCTCTCAAACCCTTTTTGTATTCTCTATCTAAAAAAAGTTAAGTCTGGTCCTGTGGATGGGTTCCAAAAATCTAAAATTGTAGAAACGTTTCATCTTTCATCCGAAAGACTTCTTCAGTCTGAGGAGATGTATTCTACAATGGAGCTTTAAGCCCACGCTAAAAAAATAATAATTAAAAGCCATAAAATTACAAGAATAAAGTCGTACGAGACTTTTTTAATTTATATATATATATATATATATATATATATATATATATATATATATAT